CAAAAAGTGTTAAACCATGTTACAGTTTTGCTCGTCACTGTACATATAGGGTGGTACAGATATTAGACAGCAATTATTTGTGATTTGTTAATGTTTTCTTTTTTTTCAGACAACCGCTACTACAGTCTTTTGCAAACTTAGTCATGGAGCGATACTCAGTTGAACAACGCTTAAAAGTGATCCAAACATTAATGCCGATTTAAAAAAAAGCTTCATGTGGGATGGGGCGCACTTAACTGCACCCACTGCAAAAGGAAAAAAACTATGCACCCACAACGAGTCGCGTTTGGCGTGGTTTTTCTCATGGCGGAGCCTTCGGACCTGACTTCGGTGCCACTTGCTACACACTGGAGGCAAAGTTGGAGAAATTAAGGTAAATGCGACGCATATTTTTAAAAATGTTACTAAAATGGAAAACGTGATTGGAGCTTCTCACTCCACTCGGAGCTATCAAGATAAATTTCGATTTATCTGGAGATCGTAAAATTTTTTGTATCGTAAGCCGGCCAACATCAGGAACTTGTACCCACATACTACAAGATCGTTTTAGTCTTTTATAGAAATGTTGGCTATGCCTTAAACACATCTCCTTTATTGCCTCTCGAGATATATATGCCTTGAAGTAATGATCGGCATGTGTGCCAGCAAGCGAACATAGCGTAAGTTTCGCCAGTTATTTGTGTCCTATGGGTCTCTTCATTAGGTGTGCGGATACCCTTGCCCTCGTGTTCACATCATGTTGCCTATATGGACTATTATTTGTATATGTGTAAGAAGAAGATCCTTTGACAGCCGTCGAATTGGTCAAAGCTTTGCCACTTTTACGACTGACATGCTCGCGCAGACGTTGAAGTTTGCAAATAATAACATATCTGTTTACATACTAATCTGTCTTTACAATTCATCTTGCTTCCCAGATACGCAGTATCCCTACTTTGTTTATAATGTATTTTGGTCTTGAACTGTTCGGAGATATACTATAAGTTTTAATCAACGTCTTTCTTAATCCCCGCAAGGGTTGACCTGAAATTCAAGATTTGAGCATATCGTCATATTGACAGCGTCATAAGAAACACCGAGTGTAGCTCTCTTTATCTGACTTTTGAATTTTCCTTCCCTAATAACCAAAGCGCCCTGAACTTGACTTTTTAAATTCCATAATGCAAAACAGACGACTCGGTTGTCGAAACAAAGTAAGTCGATGTCATCTGCATGTACCAGCAATCGTACACTCTTATAAAAAAAAATAAGTGACTTAAGCAGTACAGTTCTGTGGATCTTATTTTCTACTCCAATATCAGATTCAAGAAATCACTCGATAAAGAGTCGGCTCGTCTTAGAACCTGGTTTAGTATCAAGCGGCTCGGAAAGGTTCTTCCCCATTCTGACAGAGTTGATGGTATTGCTCAACGTCATTTTACACAGCCGCATTAGTTTCGCAGGAATACCAAATTCGAATAACGTGGATTTAAGGCAATTTATTCTCGTGCTATCCAAAGCGGCCCTGAAATCGACAATCAGGCGGTGTATATATGTCGATCCTCCTCTCATGAATCTTTTCCACTTCTTTGTTTTCCTCGAAAATGATGCATCGAAACAAAGGTGGCGCCTTTCGCTGGCCGTTAATCCCCTCTTTGTCGATTTGACAGCATCCACCCATTCGCTGACGTCACAATAGTGTTTTCCGCACTTTTAATGAATATTAAATTTTCATATTGTACCTATTTGCCGTAAAGTTGGATCTAAAAGTATACAAACGTACCTAAAAAGTAAGTATGTATTTTTATGTGCATGCATTTTCGATAGCTGGGTGACTACCTTTTCCTACGGTACCATATCTATTTTGAACTTACATCAAATAATCTCTTCTATTAAAATCCTATGTCTACGTCTTAACTAATATTTATTCCCATTTACAAACGCAGGAGGCTATTAGAATTCCCACACTGGAAAACGCGTTGAAATGACTTGAAAATAAGAGAAAATTTGCCGATAAGTTATTTAGCTTCGGTCCAAATGTACCTGTAATGGGCTTGTACCGAATATAAGTTTCAAATTTAGGAGACTACAGTACAATTATAACTAGTTTTACATCACTATATTCCACCACATGTTATATTTTATATATCAAAATTAATATTTACTCTCTCATTCTCTCACTATTATGACGTCACACCCAGTTGATATCAGCTCGTTGTTGTGTTCTATCATTCTTGCTGCAGAGTATCTCTATATGCGGGATATATCTCACCAGTGGTGACAAGGCAATATTCGGTAGAAAAGTCATACCTGCCTGGTTGGTAGTAAACAGGAACTCTTCCGCAGAGGAGATGGAGTTCCACTCATCATTTATAGCCGAGCAACTGGAGAGTTGTTTAGTAAGAATGAGAGATGAGTGCGAAAGGTATCGATTGTTTGACTACTGCTTTTCATCGTCCAGTTTTCGATGAGTACTCTTTCTAGACTCATCGTCCAGCGCACTGGCGTTTTAGTTTTTGTCTACCACAGCGTGATCAATTTATTTTTTCGTCCTGCTGGATACCTCGATGTTGGCGCTTCTGGAATGCTCACTACTCTGTTCTGTGACGTGGCTTGATCCATTTCCAAAGGTCAAAATTGAACTTTTCAATTACACAATTATTGCTCGTCGTCTTATAGCTTTAAATTTTGCGAACACTACTTCTATCTTGTGAAGTCTCTTTATCAAGGCGATAATACATATACTTACAGTAGCAAATATTTCGGTACAAGACTTGAAGACCCCCGTTCTTAGTATGTAATCAGAGAACATACCCACTTTAAGTTAACGGCTATTTGAAAAGTTATATTTACGCAGAATTTCCGAACTCTAAAGATGTTTATGTAAGTTGTATCAAATCATGGAATGTGCATAAATAAGAACACATTGACGCTTAAACAAAATGTTAGTGTTGGACCGAGCTTTTCCTCCGATTTGTGGCGTGCGCCTTGATGTTGTGACACAAAGGCGGGGACATACGTTGTATGCCTACGCCGAATGGCAATTGTATTTTTATGAGAAGCTGTTGTGGCTTGCCGAACTGTGCCTTAGACGGTCCCAAGCCCGGTTTGAGAAAACAGGAGGGAAGACAGGGGGCTTTGGTATTTCCAGGGTACAGGCTTGACAACCCCGTCTACCCCAGTTAAAGGCTACCAGTCCTGAGTCGGTGGAGGTTCAACTGGAAGAAGTCTACGGCTTTCGAGAGTCATACCAAAGACTTTAAAAATGGTGCCACGGGGAACAGATGCCCCCGGAGTGTTTTCGTCGGCGAGACGAGCAAAACTGGTGACACAAACAAGGCTTGCAAGGCAGGCAAGGCAAACACTGGCATGGCTTACACGACTAGAAAATGGAGAAAATGGTGAAAATGGAGATAATGGAGAAAACAGTTGTAATTGGAGGAAAAGTGTGGTGGAAACCGCTGGAAATGGTGAAAAAGTTGTGCGCAAGTTGAGCAATTCGATCCGTTGCGAAAGCTGAGCCGTGTCACCGCTCCTGGATGTGGAGGGTGCCCACGAGCGAGGCGAGTAGGACGTGTGAGATGAGCAAGACGGAGCAAGATGGTGAATGTGTGTCGAGCAACTCGATCGGTCGAAAGTTGAGCAAGTGGTGTCACCGCTCCTGGATGTGGAGGGTGCCCACGAGCGAGGCGATTAGACTTGTGAGACGAGCAAGACGGAGTATGAATGTGGAGTGAAGTAGTCGTGTAAGTCGTTCTAGTGTGAGCTGAGTCAGTTAAGTGGGTCAGGGTGAGTTGAGCCAGTCCAGCAAATCTCGCCGGCGAGCATTACTCCGGTCTGTTCATGGGTACGGCCCCTTTGGGGAGTATCGTGGTGGCTGTGGTTTAATACCTAAATGCGGGTAGAACCAGCAATGGTTCAATGTGGAGTTGCATTNATGAATAATGAACAGAAAATGTTGCAGACATGTTTGTAAATAAATAGGTAAGGCAGGCGAAGTTTATGCGCGCGAGCTAAATGAAATGCGTTTTTAGTAATTCTTATCCATGCCATTCGCTAAAATATTACTTTGAAGTAGAATTTTGCGATCGAAGCAATGCGAAGAAAATTTGAAGCTAACTCAGTTAGTAAATGATTACATCTTTATGTAATAACGGAATGAAAAGGTCCTTAGGTTTGACATGCAAAGCCCTACCTCTTTGGATATTATGCCCTAGACTTATTCCACTAATTTGGTATTACGACGGAAGATATTCCATCTGAAGCCGGGGATTTGCAAAGTTTGCAAATTCCTCACAGTTACACAGCTGGCAGTCTTTACCAGGAAATATTGTGAAGAGTATGTCTTCTGACCAGAGTGATATACATTAGTCTCTTAGTTATGCCAATTATAGATGATTGGATCGAATCCATCGTGGCGTAGTATCGTGGTCCTACGGTGGAAAGCAAGCAAAGTCAGGTTGTGCGTAGATTCCAGGAAAGTGAAAAAGACTCGCATCCGTTGCCCTATATCAGTGAGAGCAGACTAAAGGAAGGACTTTACGAGACGGGATTGGTGGTTCCATGTAAACCACTGTTTCACTTTAAAGTAATAATAATGCCCTATGTCTTATGCAATGTACAAACACTGAGTCGGCTGATGGATATAGCTATTCCTTCACGGTTGCGGAGAACGTCTTCGTCTACTTTGGTGACTTGATAGTGTGCAGCGTGAATTTCTCGGATCACTTCGAATCTCTGAGGGAAATGGCAAAAACTTACGGGATACAGGACTTACAAGCAACGTTAAGAAGAGCAAGTTTTGCCACAAAGAAAGTCGTTTCCTTGGGTACTTCATAGGGACCGGTTGTTTAAAAGTAGACCCAGGCAATATAGAAGCGGTAAAGGAGTTTTCGATCCCGAAGTCTCCTCGTCAGGCTCGTAGGTTTGTGGGAATGGCAAATTAGTATAGGTCGTTCATTACAAGTTTCGCTGATAATGGGCCAGCCAAACTGTCTCCGTAAATCACCTGGCTCTTTAAGCTACCTCCTAAGGCGGTTGAAGCATTCAGAAAATTGCAAACTTCAATGAGTTCTGCACCTGTTTCGGTAGAACCACATTTTTTAAAAGAGCTTATAGTCCAATGCGATGCATCCAAAATAGGTGTAGGGGGCGTTTCATTCCAGCTCATTGATGAGGGAGCATTGCCCTTCTGTTCATAGCGATGCCTTTTGACGTGCCTAGATGAAGGTTCTGCTCCTTCGCCTTCTGAGACCTCGACGCTGGACCTAAGAGTTCAGTGTGAACTTACGGCTCGCTAATCGCTGCGGGTTCGACGAGCCGCGATCACCGAATCAGGTTACTTAGAGACCTTACGGTTGAGAAGAGCTTACTCACGCCTCTGCAGAGGTGAAATTGCAAGTTGCTGTTTATGCTATTAAACCAGTTGTCGAGTCTTTAAATTGAGATCTCTGATCCGTGGATCCCTGGGGCTAACCTGGCGAAGATCGTTACGCTAATTTACTAATTCAGTCGCTTCAGCGTCGTAGAGGTCTGTTAAAAGTGCGATTTACTCGGTTCAAGGCAATTAAGCCTATGCATTTTTGAATGGAGTTTGGAAGAGTCATCCCCCGCCAGTTTTGACATCGGGCGAGATGGTTTTTTTTTGGTGAAACCTCAAAAACAAATATTATTATTATGAAGGAACTAAACAGGCTAACTACTACAATTAGTACAGATGAATACATAAAATTTATGTTTGGGCAAATGTTGTCTAAAGCTGTTCATACATACAATGATTTAAATTCAATCGATCAACTGTTACTTTTAAGTAGACTGCCAACTCATTAGAGACGATTTATGGAACTGACATTGAATTTACTTAGGAGAATTTTTCCTTTTTGATATATTTCTTGCTGTAAAATTTTTTTACGAAACTTCTTAAGGCCACACGATTGGTACATTTGTACAGATTTGTACATTTTTTATACTGGGCTATTGGTACAAAGTAAAAAAATTGGGAGGAAAATTTTTTGTAGCCATAATTAATTATGACGAGACAAGTAGATTATTTAAACAAGTAATTTTTAAGCAAAGCACACAACCGACTTCGATTCTCATATAAAAATTTAGGTGTACCGTTAATTTCTTCATGATCCAATTATCGGATCTAAACAAAATTAGTATGGGACCACTCTTAAGGTACCAGTTTCCGATGAAAAATTATCGAAATCGCTTAAGGGGTCTAAAGTTATGCGGTAATATATGAACATTTGAACTCGGTTAAAATCCATGATTATTTTATTGATTAACATACGATTTCCGACATTTAAAAAAAAAAAAAATCTTAACCCTTGACGACCCAATGGTGGTATAAAGTGACCTCCTTTTTATTTTGTGGTTTTATTGAACAAACTTGAATGCAGTTGTTTCTAAATATTTATATTGTCTAATTTAAAAAATATTACCAAATTATATTAATTTTAATTAAAACCCTGAAAACTCTAAATTTCCTAATTTATCTGCTGAAAAGTTAAAATAAAACAATCTTGGCAACAACAAAATTGAGAACAACCCTTTGTTCCATTCTTTATTGAGTTCCTTGAGACCTTCTGAGCGCTAGCTATTAATTCGGATATTTTGAAGCGATAGGCCTTCTGTGCTTAATTCTTTATTCCTTTTTATTTAGTATGGAATGTCCAGAGTTTCCAGGCCTTTTGATTCAGCTTCTCTTAGAAGGTAAAAAGTTAAATGAAATAATAATGAAACAGCTTGAATTAAACTTTGCTGTAGACACACACCGATGCGCCTACTACGAATTTTTATTTTTTTTACTTTGTTTGCCATGGAAGCTCACCTTCCCGTCTGCCTTCGAATTGCATTGCTATTGCAGGATCTTCTAATAAAGCTTCCAAAGCGCAGGTGTTATTGAAAAATCCCTTCGTGAAGACGTTTATTTACAAGCGCTCCTCATTTTGCCGACTGGGTACTTATGCAGTTCGTTTGGTGATGGTATTTGTAAGCTTTTGCGTTAAACTGTACATATTTAATAATCTTAACCTAAACTTTAACTTTCACACATTTACAGTGTATGCCTTGCAGCGTTGCCGAAGGATCAATAAAATTATAGTTTACATTTCATTACGGAATCCGTATTTTCCAAGGAAGATAATCATAGTAAAAACATACTCGTACATAAGTAAAAATACTTTTAATCGAAGTTGAAGTTAACTTTTTCATTTTTCCTGTGCAGAATTTGACGACGTGTTATCACCACATGCATGGATTGCTCATATCAAGCACATAAGCTAAACACACATAAGCTTTGGATCTACTTATATATTGAATTATAATTTACGGGTATTAAACAAGCTGGACAACTTGACAACATTTTATCCACTGGTAAGTGCTGTAAGTATGTTCGACGTTTTTTTTTATACGGAAGAAAATGAGCAACCCCATCAACAAAAAAAAAAATGTCAAAAATCAACAGTAAGTCCTAACTACTTCAAACTTACACTCTATTATACTAAAATTGAACGGGATGCAAATTGCGTACTGAAAATCTTTCTTAAAAATCTAACTAAAAGGCTTGAAATTTTTACGAAACTTGCATTTTTTATTGCAAAAATTTTGAAACGTGGATTTATACAGTTTTTGTTAAAAAATTAATTACATTTTTATAAAGAAATAACATAAAACACTATTTTTGACACGGGGTTATAGTTTCAGACTCTGCAGTACATATTTCAAATATTTCGCAAAAGCCTTGATATATCTTGGCATGACTTGGTTTCAGTCAACCAATATTGCGCCATTTTCTGTTTTTTTTTACCGTAAATCATTTCTCAGACAAAAAATAAATAAATACTTCAGTAACTTTAAATATTTTTGGGCCGCAAATCCATCTTCATTTATGAAGCCTACAGTATACAGATCTTTTGCTATCATAGCAAATTATCGAATTCACTACTCCGAGGTTATTCTCTACGCCGCTCATTAAAAAAAAATATAAAAACTAACAAGTAAGAAAGTCTAAGTTCGGGCGGAGCCGAAAATTAAAAACCCGGCGCAAGTATTAAATATATGATTTTCAATCAATATCATATATCAATTTTGAGTAAATTAGCGTTCCTAAATTTCGAAATATTGAAGTTTCAAGCATTTCTGAAATTTACCGTTATATGAAAAGTGGCCTCAATTCTAGTCCGATTTCAATAATTCTCAACGTTTTGCTTTTATGTGGCAGGCACAATAACCACACCGAGTTTGATAGAAATTGGTAGAACGGTTACCGAGATACATATATGTGGTTACAGTCCGATTTTGCCCATTTTCAGTACCATCCGTCCTACGCCCCAAAGAAATGCACGTACAAAGCTTCGTTAAGATATCTAAATTTTTACTCTAGTTATCGTGTGCACAGACGGACGGACGGACAGACAGTCACCGCTTAATCGATTTCTCTTTTCATTCTGGTCATTTATGTATACACATTTTTCTATATCTATCTCCATTCGTTTTGCCTGTTACAAACAACCGTTATGTGACCAAAGTTATAATACCCTTGTGCACACGTGCGCTCGGATATAAAAATTCCAAGAAATTATTTGTCTTAAGCCGGGGTCAAACGGTTTGTCCATTTGTACATTTTGACCGTCACAGAACAAAATAGTCCTTCCCTGCGTATACGTAATCTAAGCAAAGTGTATAGAGCAATATTAGCATATTGAATACATACATACATACATATTCATGTACATACATGTACATATAAGCCTCACCAAAAAAAAGTCGCGGTTTTTCCATCGGAATTATAACGTTTATTATATGTATTTAAAGACTCCCCCCTAAAAATATCGGAAATATATTAACATTGTCGGGAGCTGGACCGATTTCAAAAGACCTCCAAAAATAAAATTGAATTTTTAAAATACTTTTTCCAAAAAATCACCTCAGGTGATAGAAGAGTTTAAACTTAAATGCTCCAAATAAAAATCTCTAAAAATCGTATCAACGGGAACAAAGTAATGAGATTTTTGGAGATATTTTCAAATCGGCCCAACTCGCGTAAATCTTAATATTTTTCCGTACAATTTTGGCAGAAGTCTTAAAATATAATAAATTTTAAAACTTCGATGGAAAAACAGTGCCGTATTTTTTAAAGGAGAGTGATGCATCCTAATGTACATACATCCATCCAAAAGTTGTAAAATATATCTAATAAAAAAACTCTTACTTTCTTAAAAGAATTAATTTTTTTTGCAAGAAAAATATCTTACAAAATTCTTTAAATGATGGTGAAACTTTCACTCAGTGCTGGCACTAATCGATTGACTTTTTAATCAATTAGTTAATTCGATTAAATTCAATCTGATTACAGTTAATCCTGATTAATCTGATTAAACAATTAATCGTAACCCCGATTAAAAAAAAAAACTATTTTTAATCAATCACTCTTAATTTGATTAAGCAGGTTTGGTGATAAATTAATTTATGCTGGAATTTTCCTATGCACACAAAGCCAGTTAATCGGGTATGGCTAAGTCGGGTTTCCTCATCAATCTAAGAAATTTGGTGTGCATTTTCATTAAGATCTTTGCCAACATACATTTTACAAACTAGGTTTTAATATCCCTCTGCACATGTGCGCTGGGTTGTAAAAGTTCCCAGCTTATGTAAATATTACTAATAACAATAATTATAATTTTTCTTTTATGTTATTTGCTTTTTATAAGCGTAAAACACAAAATAATTACTACAACTGGTGTTTGGTTTTAAATTCGAACTTAACCAGATTTTGTTTTTAATTGGATTAATGATTAATGATTAAAATTAATTAGTCGTAATCGCCGTCAGATTAATTAATTTTAATCGACAATCGCGATTAACATTTTAATCGTTAATTTTTAATCGTTAATCAGATTANCAATGCCGCTGAGATGAAAACAATATACATATGTTTAACAAAAACAAAAAAAAAGCAGGCAAACAAATACATGAAACAAAATAAAACACAAAAAGTTAAATTTTAGTTCCTAAAAATAAAATTTAGGTAGTGATATGTTCATTTTAAGCATAGTTGAATGTACATATGTATGGATATGTAAATTTACATATGCATATAGCACTTCCAGTAGCGAGATTTTGTCTAAAAATTTAAAGTTTTGAATTTGGGACACAAAAAATTGGAAATTAAAAGCTTTGTGTGTACACTACAAGAAACTTTAAAAATACTTAAGCAAACAAAATACGAGAACGAGCGCGTGAAAGATTTCATAAATATTTACTTAGTCGAATCATTTTGATCTCACAAAGTGTCTAGCGGTATTTTTTGAATCGCTATCTGTCTATCTATCGTCGGCCGCTGTGGTGTAGTGGTAAGCAGTGCGCGCTTTCACTCATCANGATTTTACCAACACTGCTTTCACTGAATTCAAAATTAATTTTAATTTATTTTTTTTTTTTTNCATATGTATGGATATGTAAATTTACATATGCATATAGCACTTCCAGTAGCGAGATTTTGTCTAAAAATTTAAAGTTTTGAATTTGGGACACAAAAAATTGGAAATTAAAAGCTTTGTGTGTACACTACAAGAAACTTTAAAAATACTTAAGCAAACAAAATACGAGAACGAGCGCGTGAAAGATTTCATAAATATATACTTAGTCGAATCATTTTGATCTCACAAAGTGTCTAGCGGTATTTTTTGAATCGCTATCTGTCTATCTATCGTCGGCCGCTGTGGTGTAGTGGTAAGCAGTGCGCGCTTTCACTCATCAGCACCTGGGTTCAAGCCCTGGTCAAAGCAACATCGCAAAAAATATAGAAAAAGGTATTTTATTAACAGCGGTCGTCCCTCGGCAGGCAATGGCAAACCTCCGAGTGTATTACTGCCATGAAAAATAGCTTCTCATAAAAATACAATCGCCGTTCGGAGTCGGCGTAAAACTGTAGGTCCCTCCGCTTTGTGTGACAACATGAAGGCGCACGCCACAAGTCGGAGGAGAAGCTCGGCCAAACACTAACATATGTGTAAGCGCCAATCCATTCATTCATTTATCTGTGAAATTATGAGTACTAATTTTAGGAAATGTCTGTTGTTTTATACCTTCTCGGGGAAATATATAAAATTTTGTAAGACTACATAATTTGTGTTTCTCACTAGCTCGAGATGACCCAGCGGAGTGTAAGCCTAAGCCGGACATTGGTTGAGAAGGTGCTCGACGTTTTCGACTTTCGCTTTCCTACTGCGTGCATTCCTACTAGGCACATGCCCAGTGATGGTTCTAGCCACCATTCGGAGTTGAGGGCGTTCGCGAAGAATAAGGGCGCTGGACCTATCATTGTAGAGTCTGCGCTAGGTTTGACGTACTGCCCTTGTACTCTCCTTGATGGGTCTGTGTTCCATTTTCGGTTTGCCAGTCCGACAAAGTAAATTTTAAGCCCACTGTTTGTAGGATGCAAGCGGCATATGCATGTACCCGTCTCTTAGGAGGTACATATTTATTTGTGGCAGTAAGGGGCTTGCCAGTTCTGGTCGCTTCAACTGCCTCACAATTACCAATTACTTATATCTCTGTGTCCTGGAACCCTAATAATCCGTGTTATATACTTGGATGCCAGCTCGTTTAGAATATATATATCTACATTCGGTAGCGGTGTAAGAGGTAGCCGAGCAGCATTCTAAAAATTGTATAGCCGCTACGATCCACTGATTTTGTACACTATCGAGGAAAGATTTTTGGAACTTGGGTGNTAATTGTCCGAGAAAATTCTACCTTATCAGCTATCAAGTCAGTTTGAAACACACTGCAGTGATCTGGCAATCGAAAGCATAATCTGAGTGGCAGTTCCTCCGAATCCGACGCTCTGATCCACTGATTTTGTACACTATCGAGGAAAGATTTTTGGAACTTGGGTGCCGATTCTGTTAAGAGGGAGCGAAAAAATTGTTTTCTGAGCAAACCTTTTATTATTGAATCATGGTCCATTGCCTTAACCCACTTCTGTAAAAACTGCTGAAACAAAAACAAACAGGAAACCGTAGCGCACCCTCCTTGTAGCGTTCAGCTACTTGGAGCACAAAAGTTCACATCGCTAAAGATTTTTATCTTATATAAGCCTCCATACTTCATTTTATCAACCACGCTGTTTAATTTTAATATAGTCATACGCGGCTTATGATGTAAAAATGGCAATTATTGGCTATTTAGACGGTAGGTTTTTCGGCGCCATTTTAACCTTACCTAAGGGTTACTTACCTTATGGACGTTCCTCATTCATTTTTATGCATGACTTCGACGAAATTCCACTTCTGAATTATTTCTTATACTACGAGTTACACCAAAATATAAAAAGTTCTTACTTTCTTGAATTTAGCGAAAAATCCAGTGCT